GGTTTTCCTTTTCAATTGGTATTTGATTTGAAATGGATTTTGGATGAAAAATTAGTGGAGGGAGAAAAGAGAAGAGAAGAAGATGGAAAGAACGAAACTCCAAACCGAACTTTAGTGCTGTTTCCTGACGTTTTCAACTTTTAAAGGGAGCCTGTGAAATGGAGAGTAAAATGGAGACGAAGGGCGACAGAAATGATCGGGCGGGGGGAGAAATGCCGAGGGTTTGTTTTTCTGACCTTATACCACATAAAACGACGTCGGTTTACCAACTTCCCAAAACGGCGTCGTATTGGACGAAAATTTGAACAGTGAAAGGGAGGATTCACTCTTATTATATAGTAGGGATATATATATTATTATTATAATTATTATTATTTTTTTATTGACAAGTAGAAGAATATGTGGTAGTAAATGTTCGTTAAGGAAATTACCTCTAAGTGTTGAATACCTATTGGAGGATACACTTTGAGCCTCCTCCAAAACCCAACCATAGGTTTAAAAAGCAATTAATATCTTCAAAAATAAAAAAAAGTTCTCCTTGATTTGTAATACAACATTCATCTTCCGGTGAAAAACCAAGGAGAACTTTTACGGTAAAATGTTTAATTTCTCTTTTAACCTATGCTGGGTCTCGAGAGATCTCTTTCTAAATTTAGTGATGAATGCTTTGGAAGAAGCTCAATCACCGATATTAATATTTGAGCTTTGAGTGGTACCTACAAAACATTATTACTCCAACACATTATTTTCATACCTGTTTCGAATTAAATAAGCCATGAAGAAAAAAAAGGACAAATAATTATCAAACAGAAAACACAATAATAAAAGCCAAGAAAGTCATGCAAAATTGTACTCGTAAAGAGTTTAAAATATGGGCTTGTGAAGTTGGAAAATTGGGGAAGCATAGCGGAAGAATGGGGAATCAAAAATTTCACTCCCCACACTGGAGCGATCATCTTGTCTAAACAACGGATCATTTTGAATTCATGTGCAAGGGATGAGTTGTAATAACCATACCTACGGCCTAATTGCCTGCCAGAACAGGATGTAGAGTTCACAATCTCACTTCCAGTTCTACAACCATCTCCAAGGCTCTTTATAGAATGGCACCGAAAGAGTTGCATGAACTAAAAGGATAGAAGATTCTATAGAAAAATGATTTATCTGACCCAGTGTTTCACCATGGGAGCACGGGTGTTTGTTAAAAAGAAGATGGCACGATGAGAATGTGCATTAATTATAGAATAAAGTAACCTCTTCCTAGGATTAGGGACTTGTTTGATCGACTTCAGGATGTAGTGGTGCTCTCCAAGATCGACCTAAAATCTGGTTACCATCAATTTAGAATGAAGGTGGGTGACATATCAAAGACAGCCTTTGGAACTCGGTATGGACACTACGATTTCTTCGTTATGCCATTTGGCTTAACATTGCTCATGGAATCTTTATAGATTTGACGAATAGTGTCTTCTGTGAATACCTTGATCACTTAGTTACCGTGTTCATCGATGCCTAATCTATTCAAAAAGTAACAAAGAACTTGAAGAGCACTTAAGGATAGTACTGGGAGTCTTGAAAAAGGAGAAACTTTATGACAAATTTGACAAAATGTGAGTTTTGGTTGGAAATGCATAGCATTCCTTTGACATATTGTCATAGTCAAAGACATAGAGGTTGATCCAAGCAAAGTGGAGGCAGTGTTAAATTGGTCGAGCCCAACCAATGTAGGAGAAATTCGTAGCTTTTTGAGCTTAGCAGGATACTGTAAGATGTTTATTGAAGGATTCTCCAAGATATCGGACACAATTAATATGTAAGTGTGCAGAGTTTGGTTGGACAGAGAAATGTGAGCAGAGTTTTGAGGAACTGAAGCATAAGCTAGTGAATGCTAAGTGTTAACTATACCTAAAGCGTTACCGATTTTTGTGATTCACAGTGATACCTTTAAGCAAGGAATAGGTGTGTCTTGATGTAGCACAATAAAATGGTTGCTTACGCATCAAGACAATTGAAGTCACATGAGCAAACTACCCCACGCACCATGCAATAAAAATTTGAAGGCATTACTTTGATGGAAGTAAGTGTTACATTTATATGAATCACAAGAGTCTCAAGTATATATTCATTCAAAAGGAGTTGAACATGAGAAGAAAAGATAACTTGAGTCGGTAAAAGATTACAATTGAAAAATTCACTATCACCCACAGAATGTGAATATTGTAACAGATGCCTTGAGTCGCAAAGTGACAAGTTAAGTGGCGGCTTTGACCATGTAAGAGCCATTATGGAAGGAGTTCGAGAGATTAAGTCTCGAAGTGGCATATGCTATTGCTCAGATGGCATCACTTTTGATTCGGCAAACGCTCCGTGATACGATTAAGGACCATCAGAAAATCGATTAGTTATTTGAATTTATTAAGTCAGAGATTGATACAAAGAAGCAAAATGATTTTACCATGGATAAGGACAAGACTTTGTATTATCATGGACGTTTGTGTGTGCCGGACTTTGAGTAGTTGAAAAAGAAAATATTAGAAGAGGCTCACTCTACTCCTTATTCAGCACATTCGGAGGTACAAAGATATACTGAGACCTTAAGGCGGTCTTTTGGTGGAAAGGCATGAAGAGTGATATAAGCTGAGTATGTCGAAGGTAATTAGGATGTCAACAAGTGAAAGTTGACACCAACAACAGCCACGGTTGCTTGAACTGTTAGAAGTTCCGAATGGAAGTGGAAGCATGTAATGATGGAGTTTATAGTCAATTTTCCAAAGTCAATAGAAAGCTATGAGGCTATTTTGGTCATCGTGGNAATAGGTGTCAAACGGGGGCTTTGTATTATCATGGACGTTTGTGTGTGCCGGACTTTGAGTAGTTGAAAAAGAAAATATTAGAAGAGGCTCACTCTACTCCTTATTCAGCACATTCGGAGGTACAAAGATATATTGAGACCTTAAGGCGGTCTTTTGGTGGAAAGGCATGAAGAGTGATATAAGCTGAGTATGTCGAAGGTAATTAGGATGTCAACAAGTGAAAGTTGACACCAACAACAGCCACAGTTGCTTGAACTGTTAGAAGTTCCGAATGGAAGTGGAAGCATGTAATGATGGAGTTTATAGTCAATTTTCCAAAGTCAACAGAAAGTATACTCCGATAAAACCAGTAGCACCATCGACTCATCAAATCAGCTCATTTCTTGCCAATTCGGATGACATTTTCAATCAACCAGTTAGCTCAGTTATATGTGAATGAGATAGTAAGGTTACATGGTTTGCCCATTTCAATTGTATTAGATAGAGATCCAAGGTTCACATCAAACATTTGGAAAAGTTTACACCGAGCTATGGGAACTAAGCTAAAATTTAGTACCGCTTTCAACCCTCAGATAGATAGGCAGTTTGAGCGAACGATTCAAACACTAGAAGATATGCTTTGAACATGTGTCCTTGAGTTTGGAGGACATTGGGAAAAATATTTACCCTCGATAAAGTCCTTGAGTTTTTCCACGATTCAAAACCATCTGTCCAATGAGTTATAGCATGGTTTGAGCTACGAGAAAGTGCCAATTAGGATCATGGAGATATTTTTTTGTTATTTTAAATTCATTATTTTATCTCATTAACAAAAATATAGTTGAGATAATGATAAGATTTGATCACTTTTAAAATTCAAGTTCAATTGAATTAGAACTCCCAAATCATGGTCGTACCTATAAATAAGCACCATATGATCCATTTTCAAGTACATTCATTTATCTGTGAAACACACACAAACAAGAATATACAACATTCATTAGTGCGTGGGTCAAAGGTTGAAGTCCCAAATATATTCTAGTATTTATCTTATGACTTTCACAAGATATAGGTAAGTAAGTGTATAAATATTTTATGGGATCATATGCGTACATTAGGTTTTTGGAAATTGATTATGAGTTCTTTTATGTATGTGCTAAGTTTGGACCAAAATATAGTAGCACTACGCATGAAAATTCCATACCACCTATGTTCAGTATAGATTTTCATGTCTCACTATGTATGTATGACTGTATATATGTATGTAGTTCCTTAAATTCTGTACAATATTAATAAAATTACTTATATGCTTATTGAGATTTTATCTCACCCCTTCCTTATACCTCTTTCTGGAAATTAATGGTTCACAGCAATCAAGGCATGAGAAAGCGGCTTAGTGGTAAGTGAAAAGAGACCCACTATGCTTACTTTTATTGACTTAAGAACTTGATTGTTGATTTAGATATTAAGACCGCTAAAACTTTCTTGTATTTTATTTTATTTCAATGTCAAATTTTAATTTATGCTCACCGTTATTATTTCATGATATTATTTAAAAAAATTTCAAGGTTTTGAAAGTGAAATATGGTGTTCAAGATATGATCTTAGTGACACTAGAATCTTTAGAATTAGGGTCGTCACATGAGTACCCTAATGCTGTATGACAAAAATTATCAGAATCCAGATGGTTGATTTAGTTACAAATAGGATTTTTACTTCCAACAAAGAAACAAAATAATTAGCAAAGAAAATATACTTAATGTGCAAATACAAGAAATCATGTGGTAATTTAATTCGTTATGAGTAAAGAGAAAAAAATAGCGAGCGAAGAAAATATACTTATCTCGAATTTAGTGGCAGGGAGGCTTCAGATACCTTAATTTTATACTTAAAAGTGCGAGAGCATGTGAATGGAAGTTTTGATGGGGATAATAATAATAAGGTGGTTGACATGGAGATAAACATGACTGGTGAGAAAATGTCGAGTTGTTTAAGGTTTCATGTGGTACTATACAACTTAGACGCTTGCAGGCTTGTAGTGTTCATCGGGAAATAGAAAATAATGTAAGAATTCATAAAATATTTACGATAAAAAATTTAAATACTTCCACAATTTATGCACCAAGAATGTTTTTTTTCATGTCAACAACCTAATTAATGTTTCCATGAAGTTTTGATTCACATCTTCTCGAGATCTTATGTACAAAGTGAACTTTCTATATTGGTGTGCAATTTCGTCTCTTTTTTTGTGGCGAAATAATTTCTAGAGGAAATATTTACAATTCTATCCTGTAAAAACATTTGGGAATCCAAATTGAAGGATGCTAAGTTATATGGTAAAAAGCCTTAAGACCATCATCATTCTTCAGCATATTGTTGCAATGTTAATGTAGGACTTGTATAAAATTAGCTAAACATTTTTTTGGCAGAGTAATTATTTAATGGGTCTTAAACATTACTCGTCCAATTATGGCATAAAACATGCACTATACTTCTCTGAATTTCCATAAAGGAAGAACGCAAAACAATGGAAGTAAAAAGTTTATAATAGCACATCCAATTTCAATAAACAAGTTCTGTCGAGCTAAGTATTTAGCCAAAAGAATTAGTAGCCAATATAATTTCATATAAACTAAAAGCATTTCTCATTATTCAAATTGTACTTTTGGCCCCAGCTTCCAACACCGGTTTCGTAACAGAAAAATTACACTAAATCAAACAAATTGCTACAAAACTAAAACTAAGAAAACATACACTATATATTTCTGAATCCCCAAAAAGGAAGAGGAACAAGCTTGTCAAGCTAATTAGTTAGCCAAAAATATTGTAGTCAATTATACTTCCGTAATAATCCAAAAGCATTGCAGGTAACTAAACCCTACCCTTGCCCCAATTCCAAGCAACGGTTTGCAAAAATATTTGACACTAGAATCAAACAAACTGCTACAAAAAAACTAATTTCACTTCCAAATACCTAAAAATAAAAGAAAATCACGAAATACCTTAAACGAATAATGAATAGTTTAATCCCGTCAAATATCATCCAGTTTTCTCATAACCCAGAACACAAAACTCAGTTTCGAAATCGTAAAAGTAAAGCCATTACAGACTAAACTCACTTAAGACGAGGGACCCAAGAAGGAAGACTTGGAATCCAAGTTGTCAAGAAGAGACGTCTGGAGCTTGAGTTCATTTAACTGCACCTCAACTCCTCCACCGATGTCGAATAATCAAGTGCTTAAGGATCTCCCACTGTGGGCAGAGTAGTTGACATGAGGTGGCATGGCCACCATGGAGCTGTTGGTGAGGGCTTCACATGAAGAGAGAGAAAAAAGGAAAGGAAAGGGGAAGGAACGGGAAAGCTGAAACGATATGACGTCTGAGAAAAATATGGCGTGTTAAAGAAGATATGGCATGTGAGTGACACAACATTTAATTTAAATATAGTACACAAAACGGCATGGTTTTGAAATCGTGGAAAAACGACGTTTTTAAATGTCCAGTGAATAAAAAAAAGAGGCAAAGAATGGAAAAAGAAATTGGAGGGCACAATTTCTTAGGAACATTGCCCTCAAAACTGTCTCTTTACTTTTGTAGTGGATTAGGGCGTACTCATGGCATTAGACACTACACCAAAATACACCATTTGCAACACATATATGGCAACATTTGGTAGTTAAGTGTTGCTAAAGGGG